AAAGGCCTCGTGCGCACCTCGTGGCCGTGCGTCACACCGGTGTTTTTTCTTCCGTGCGAGGGAAGCTCTCAGCCGCGCGAGAAGAAGCGCCGGCTCCGAAGAGTGGTGGCGCGGCTCCAGAAGTGACTGACTGATGGTCACTGGGGATGGGTTACTGATGGCTCAACCAGGGATGGGTCATGAGTCAAAAACCAGATCTGCGTGGTGATCTGCGTGATTTCAGAGTAGATGGCACAGACCCCATGATATCCTTTAGATGGGGGGCCCATATAAAACGCCAACCGGGGGACGGGTCAAACCAGTTTTTTATGCATTCAACCAGATCATTTGCGTATGTGGTCGCGTGAGACATATGACTTGTGGCTTGTAACATATCAAGGTATCTGGGGATGGGTCCAGAGCTGGAGCATGTTGCCTGATCTTGTGGGGAGGTCAAGGTATTGGTTTGAGTTAGGGCGTGCCATTTGGGGAGGGTGTATTCTTTATGATTTCTATTACTATGTGTATTATTATAGGGGAGACCCCCCTGGCCCAATGGGTGGTCTATTTCCCTTCAGACCCGTATCCCCAACAACTTCGGGTCATGGCTCGATCAAGGATTGCCCAAGTAAATAGCTCCTATTTGGGGGGGGGGAACAAGACCCTAAAAGATACCGCCCAGCCATTCGAACATCTTCGGGGCGGGGTTGAATTTGTTCCAACAGCGTGATCAACTACCAGTCGCGACGGGCTGCAATTGCTTCACCAAACACTAAGGCCGATGCCCAAAGGCTAATCGACTGATGAATCCGTTTCTCCCACACAGAATCCCAGGACTTGTGGTCACTTCATTTGTGCACGTGTTGGAGCCCTCACAAGTGGCATTTACTGGTACAGTAGAGGGAGGGGATAGGTTTTTTCCAGGACTGTAAGGTTTCTCCCTCCAGGGAGCAGAACGATATCATGTGGTTTCACCATGTTTCACCCCATCGAATGTGACCTTCCGACGAAAAGGCTTCCAAAACGATGGCCTCCAACCCTAGTAGCGATGGCCTCCAACCTAGTTACTGGTGATGGCCTCCAACCTAGAAGCGATGGGTGCCCCATACATCGCCTATACCAAAAAATACATCCAGTCCACGTGCTTCAAGTTCAGGTCACCTCAGACGATGAGGCTGAGCCCCAGGCGCGTGAATCGGATGTTCGTGGTCGCAGTGGTGGTCGAAGGTCGCTCTGCCCCTACGAGCGATGGCCTCCAAGATGGCCTTAGCAACGATATCTTGTCTCGTTGTCCTCAAGGTCTTGCCAGAGATACAAGAATAGTTCTTGCTAGAGCTGCTAGTAACGAATTGAGGGGGTTGGCCACTCCATCGGGTTTCGAGGGTGTTTGCTTTGGGAAGAAAAGCGATGTGGCTTTTGCTTTGCTGTCTGACACGACAAAACACTGTCACATTGAAGTACATGAAGTACATGCGTTCTGCAAGGTGCCTCAGGGAACATCTTGTGGCAGCGGTGCACTAGGTGTGCTTGCGAGAAACCACCGTTGCAACTAACGACCGCAGAGGTGCTCCCTTCACGACTGAAGGGTTACAGAGTTCTGAGTTTCTTTCACATGCCTTTTCAAGCGAAGCCAAAGCTCTTGGATCCGGAAGCGGCTCAGGTTTGATCTCAAGACCTGCTCGGTTTTGTGTGTCCTTTTTCTGGTTGCCAGCGCGGGATCACCGATAGGAGCCTTCCAAGCCAGCGGAGGCTCCAGAGCCAGTCCCCAGAGAAGGCCCGCTCACCGGAGACGGCAGCTTGTCGGGAGTACGCTCTCCTCCTCATCTCTTCTTTCCTCGCATCTGGGATGTTTGGACATCATGGACCGGCATATTCCAGCATTCCCCGCAACGCGCCCCCCTGGGACTGCGAGCAGATTGGAGGCCATTGCTATTAGGTTGGAGGCCTTTGCTTCTATTAGGTTGCTTTTGCTATTTTAGATTGCCAAGTGACATGGCCTTCATCACCAAGGCGCAGCACCTGCTTCAGCCGCGCCGCCGACGGGCGAGGCTTTGGAGGTGGGAGGGAGTTCGATGTCGACGCAGCTCCGCGTGGTCACCTTTGTGGTCCGTGGTCACAGCTGGTTCACATGTATCATGTATCAAACTAATTCAAATTAGACTATCTGACTGTATTAGATGTTTTGTTGGCGTGTGTTTGATTTGGGTAAGCTTAGCTTAGCTTTATCTGGTGGTGAGGGCACCGTCCGTGGAGATGCTGGTCCGCTGAGCTGAGCCAAAAGTTGCTGCAAGAAAGGGTGAAAGGGTATCAAACTGTCAAGAAATAGATGTTACTTGGGCTAGAAATAGTATGAGTGAGTGGTTCAGAGTGGATGCCAGGCATCGTCTTGGAGGGAATTGCGGCAGATTTGTTGAACCGAATCGACCAAGTTGAAAGAAACCTCGAAGACCGGTCTAAAGTGTCACGAAGTGACGACCCACATGAGCCCCGCGCCCCGAGTGCGAGTGCAGGGACCTCTTGAGGGCGAAGATCTCTCGGAGATCATTGAGAAGGACCGAGCATCGGGAGTTGGACGCGCTCGGACGCGGGTCTCCGAACGGGGGCGCTCCGGACGCCATCGCGAACCGAACGTAACAGTTGGAGGGACCTCAGTGGATCGATCATTGGACGACAACACCGCATCAGTCACCACGAGGAGGAAGGGGTGCACTGGAATGAGAACCGCCGTTGTAATGAGATTCTTCGAACCGCCGTCCTCCAGTTGACTGTACTCCTATCAGGCCAAGAAGAAGCTTGAGACATCTCCTGCGCCACAAGAGGCGCCACTGGTGTCACTTTTGGATGGTGGACCCCTTAGAAACTTCAGCAAGCTGAGAGGTAGAAGCTTTGGACTCAAAGGGGAGCGTGGATATGTCAGATTGCTGTCGAGAATGTTCTTCTGAAGCGGACTCCAAAATTTGGAGGGTGACTCGACTCGGGTCCTTTCTTCCCAAGGCTCTAATGACTCTAATGTAGACTCTTCATTCATAGAATGACCCCCCCCATTTGGATTGTAAAACCATGTAAAACCTCTGCATATGAGTTGTTTGCTTGATCAACTTTTAGGGCGCAGTTTTGATCCTGTGATATGTCCCCTTCACCAGCATATTTGATGCGATCGTAAGATGGGCCACTGGCTCCTCTTTGTTTGCCCTCAATGTCCATGTTTGTTTTCTTGTCCATCAGTCCTTTTTTTGCTTCACCAATGTTCTGTGTCTCTTTCACTGTGGTTTTGGTTTGTTTTGCTATCCTTCCCTCTGGCCTAGTCCAACTCAAGCATCTCAGCCCTTTTCATCAGCACATGAGTAGTCCCACGAAGGGCCAGCTTCAGAAGATGACAGCTTCTCCAAGAGCAAAGGAGTGTTTTGCTAAAGGAAATGGTGCTGGGATCTAATCATGTTTCCAAAGAAGCACTTCATTTGCCTGTCTCAGTCTCAGTGTTTGAACGATCCTCTTCCCCGATTGGCCACATGCCGTGCAGGTCTCAAGGCTCTTGACGCACCTGGAGTCCCAGTCGGTCAAGGGCCCAAGTCGTCGCTTCTCCGACGACGGCACGTCGCTTCGACACAAACAGATTGCAAGACGGGAACGATGTGAGTATGCGAACGAAGAAGGTTAGAAAGCAGGTGACCATAAGATCAACCAACTCCGCGCGTATTTGTCATAGGTCCATTCCTGAGGATGGGTCGCCAACCCAGATTTCGTTGGGAAAATCTCTAGGCTGCAATCAGCAGAATCTTCCACCAGCTGGTCAGTCGAGCTCGGGGCAGAATGCCAAGCCACGGCAAACCTCAAGCCAGACCAACCGATCTCACAGATCTGGAAATTCAGGATGCATAGCAGCTCAAGGTAGATACACAGCAGCTACACAGCAGCTACCAACAATGGCTACAACCCCCCCCGACGTCCCATGCCAGCACGGGCCCCGCCTGCTCAGATGAACGCCCAGCTCTTGGTGACTACGAAGATCGGCTTGGCGGTGAATGGCCTCAGGACTTCCAAAAGATGGGTCTCCGGCCATCACTGCAGGGCATCAAAAAGATCAGGAGGCCATCGCTAGTAGGTTGGAGGCCATTCCTAGGTTGGAGGTCATTGCTTCTACGTCACGAAGCGGAGCGCTTGAAAGAAGAACTAACTTCCACGGGTTTGCTGCTGGCCCACTCTTGGTGTGAGGTCTCACTTATGCCTCACTTTGTCCCAGAAACATGGCGGTGCTTATAAGGCGTGCCTTTACGTGCCGTATGTAGGATTCAAAAGGACACGCCCCGCGAGGCGAGCACACTCAGATAGACCTGAAGCAGGTATGTGTGTTCCTTCTTTCCCGGAGGTGTACCCGTTTGAAGACGGAGGTGTACCAGTTCAGATGTTCGTTCGGCTTCCAACGAGTGAGTCGCGTCCTCTTCGGGTGTCGACTCGTCGCCGAGGTGTCACACTGCAGTCGGGGTGACCGCGGGGTGCGGGGAGAAACGGGGGGGCCGGTCGCCAGGAAGAGCTATGCCAAGTATCCCAACGTGGCTGGGAAGGCCCAGGAGCGGACCTGCGGTTATGACATCTTTTGGGACCATCAATGGATGGATGTATGACATGAACAATGGGATGGATGCTATTTATCAAGTTGTGTCCATGTTTTTTTTTGGACCCACGCACTCCGATCATTAAGTAGACGCCTACTTGTGTCCTGTTGGTTGCACTTGAGGAGCGCCTCCTCTCAGGGCTACATGACCGGTGTCAGCTCGTGCTTCGATCTTTCAACGAAGTCCTATACATATAAAAAAACCACCATGAACTCGGCCCCTGCAAAAGTCAGAAATGCTCCAGAAGCCAGGCCAAAAGCCCTCTTTTTTTTGCCACCGGTGACCTTCTAAAGATTCATCAAGACGTTTGGAACCATCCAGCCATCCTGTTGGAACCGTGTCCTTGAGCTCCTTCCCGGAGGAATCGGGTCTCACCTTTCCAGCTCTTTGTATTGAGGTCCAGCAGGCTGTAGGGCTTGTGAACCGTTGGAAAGAGCTTTGGATGCAAGAGAAGGCAGCGAACAGCGCCTGAGACTGGGCAAGGCATTAACAATGAATCAAATAGAAAGAACGGAAATGAAAAGAATGGAGATGAATGGAACTCTCCTCGCAGGTTGGCCCAAGGATCCTTCAACCTGGATGTATATGGTTCTTTTTTCTTTCGCGTCCACCGACAAAATTCCTGAGAGAACTGAGCGCCGCCCAGTCTCAGACTTGCCGACTTCGTCGGGGCACCACCCGAGCCGATGGCCCAGGCTGCGACCATTGACCCGAGAAAAACTCGTGGGAAGGTCGACCAATTCCCGTGGGGCGAAAAAAGGACGTTGAGAAGTTAAGCCATATATCTTATAGAGCACAAACCCTGGTGTTTTGTTTGTGCTGGTCGGTTGTGCTGGTCAGTTACTGGGCTGGGGGTTAGTTGAACCTATAAGACTTAGCTCTTCGATTTGTAAGGTACTCGTTCATTCCACCAAAAAGGTCCGAAACAGATTTCACACACTCTGACATTGGTTTTCAGTTAACTCAATGTCCAGGAAAAATGGTGATGGAACCGAAAGGTGAAAGGAAGAGTCGGCAGAACAGTATTGTTTAACAGAAGGTTTCGCGTGACTGCAGAACACTAGTTACTGAGTACTTAGCAGACCTAGGAAAGGAAAGAGTGAACCGAAAGGCGAAAAG